GGATTTAGCCTTTACTAGTACAAAACAAAAAGAGGTTTCTGGGCTACACGCTGCTTGGATAAAAGCATAGACCCACGATAGCTCCCAGAGCTGGTGGTAAACCACCGCCATGTTGGGAAGCTGAGGTGGGCGGAGCCAGCAGCCACAGCTGCTGCAGTTTAAAGCAATAGATTCACAATAAGACAGATTCAGATGTAATAGTTTACAATGTGTGTAAAATATACGTAGGCTTGAAAGAGACAAAAAAGGTGATATATACAGTTATAGAAACAAATACATAGTTTTTAAAAATAGTCTTTAAAGAGACAGTAAAGGTAGTATAAAAAATAAGCCACGTAAAAATGGATATTACACAGAGAATCTGGATTGTGTTGTCTTTGGGATTTTTTTTTTTTAAAGATTTATTTATTTATTATGTATACAGAAGAGGGTGCCAGATCTCATTACAGATGGTTGTGAGCCACCATGTGGGTGCTGGGAATTGAACTCAGGACCTCTGGAAGAGCAGTCGGTGCTCTTAACCTCTGAGCCATCTCTCCAGGCCCTGTCTTTGGGATTTTTAACTGCAGAAAAACATTTGATTGTAAAAGCTGTTGAGTTAAACCGATATATATATATATTTTAAAGATACCTTGACTTCAAAATTTGGATATAAGGATATGTTGCTTTGGAAAAGAGTCTCTTTTGTTCCCACAGAAAGCCAGAGGCTATGGATTTGTTCCAGATTAAGATATATCAGCCAAGACCCCCTGAAAGGTCTCCGATGACACCATGGCCCAGATGATCCAACATCCAGAATGGTTTGAAGGCAACTGGCTCAGACAATACAGCCTCATGGACTATTCCATAATCCTAAAATTTTCTTTGTATCCCCATAAGATACAGCACCCCCCTCCAGCAGGAAGTAGTAAGAGAAGCTACGCCCAAATTCCCAAATTATATGTAATTTTACTTTGTTAAGGTTAAAACCTTCCTTTTTGAAAAAAAAAAGGGGGGGAAGTGCTGTGGGATGTTCTGTATGGCAAATGTGTTGCTGATTAGTCAATAAATAAAACACTGATTGGCCATTGGCTAGGCAGGAAGTGTAGGCGGGACAAGGAGGAGAATAAAGCTGGGAAGTGGAAGGTTGAGAAAGAGAGACACTGCCAGCCGCCACGATGAGAAACAGAATGTGAAGATACCGGTAAGCCACGAGCCATGTGGCAAGGTATAGATTAATGGAAATGGATTAATTTAAGCTGTAAGAACAGTTAGCAAGAAGCCTGCCACGGCCATACAGTTTGTAAGCAATATAAGTCTCTGTGTTTGCTTGGTTGGGTCTGAGTGGCTGTGGGACTGGCAGGTGAGAGAGATTTGCCCTGACTGTGGGCCAGGCAGGAAAACTCAAGCTACAACTCCCATTTCCCCCTTGTAACCCACCCACCCACATCAACAGATTTGTTTTCCACTCCAGAAATTTTGCAATTTGACATAATCTCTTTTTATAGACATGTAATTGTGTCCATCTATTTATCTACCACCTATACTTTTTCAAAGCATTTTCTATACTTACAACAATTTTGAAAGGTAGCTAGGGAAGGCTTCCATATTGTAGGCCAGGAAACACAATCAACAACAATAAATGACTTAATGAATCAGGTCATGTGTTGGACTGGAACTGGAACTCAAGTCTGATGCTTAGTCTTGGACTTTCTGCCTGACAGACTGCCTCTTTATAGAATCCAGAAAACTGTAGAAGGAACAAAGAGGAGAGGTGAGGATGCAACTACCTTTACTGGCAGGAATGAAAGGTGAATGACCTGCAGTGAATGGATGCATGAAAAAACAGGACACTTCAGCATTTCGGGTATTTGCTTCCTTAATGAGGAGGGTCTCTGACTTAGAGCCCAGGACACAATCAACTATGGACTGTTTTTGCTCTGAGACCCCTCAGTTTGTTTAACTTAGGCCCCAAAAGAACTGAGGAGTGACTATCAGGAGGGATGCTGACCCCAATTGCTCTGACTTGGCAGGGCGAGTCAGTTCTAGTCTCAGGATTTTCATTAGTGCAGTGTTTTCATTAAGTCTCCATTAACTTCTTTGCAGTAGTGAGATGGAATTATTCCTCCCACCAGGCCTGGAGGGAGATGCTTACTAAAGTGCTGTCTTTGGTTTGGGCAGCAGAGATGCTGCCTCTTCTGCTATGGTTTTCTATCCAGGAGACAGGTAAAGAGGGCAGCCTCAAGGTGCAGTCTGAGGTCTGGCCAAGGAAAGTGAGGGTTCCCTCTGGCACTTTACAAAGAGGATGCAAATGTGGGTTGAGCACCAGATCCTGAAGGAAGGGTGGTCCCAGCTAAGGACCAACTTCTGTAGTCTAAGACTCAGGTGCCTGGATCAGTTAATTATTCCCTCACAAAGTTTGACTTTGAGAAGAGGCTGGCACATGGCTGGAATGTGCTCACGTTGTTGGGGGAAGAATGTTCTTCCAGCCTTCCTCCCCCTAAGGCCTCTTGCTTCTCCCAAGTATCTGTCATCAAAGGAGGTGAAGATGAGTCCCCCTCCTCAGCCCCCACACCTCAGTGAGTTGTCAGGTATTCTCCCTCCCACCTGAACAGGAACCAGGAGCTGCAGACCAGGTTGCAGATTGGGGAAGTCAGAAGTTAACTTGAGCTGAGTTTGCAGCATGGTAGAGACTGAAGAGCAGGCTTTTCTCTTGTCACTTTGGAAAGAGAGGATTGTGGGGCTGTCCCTTTAAATAGCTTTCCCGTAGGAGGCAGATCACATCCATCCGTCACCTGCTGCCAAAGCATCACTTTTAGTCTTTATCAAACTCTGAGCTTGTTGGAAGGGATTGTGGGGCAAGGTGTGTGAGGAGGCAGACTTTCCAAGGGGCAAGAGCAAGGCAGTTCTGCAGAAGCTGAACGGAAAGGCTGTGAGGCTGGGCAGAAAGAGCCTAGGAAAGGTATGGGAAGGGAGCTGAAGTGGAAAAGACAGGGAGAGAATAACTGTTTCTTGACTCTGAATGGGGGCAAGTATACCATACTATTCCTGTCTCTTTAGGAGTTCATAAAGCTGAAATGTGATTGCCCTGCAGCTAGGGGAATGAGAGTGAAGCTGAACACCAGAACTTGTGACTAAAGAAAGTGAAAGCTAAAAAGTGGAAAAGGCCTTAGAAGGTTGGGAGACTTGGCTCTGACTTTGAGGCTAACTTCTGTGGGACTGTATTATTTTTTTCTGGGCATCCTTTTCTTATTGAATGGAAAGGAAGGTAGACAGATTCTACAAATGACCTTTCTTTTAAAAGGGTCAGGAGTTAGGGGCCTTGGAGAGCTGGGCCTGCCACGGTGTTGACAAGAAACGTTGAAAGTCCACTCTGGAACCCTCCTTCCCCTTTAACTGTTCTAGTTGAACTGCCTTTCTACATCTGGAAACTCCTTAGTTCTAATGTAATTTCTGAGGTAGAGCTTTTTAACTCTAATCCTAATTCACAATTAATTCTTGTGTAGTTTCCAATCAATCCCTTCTTTAGTTAGTAAAGGAGACTGCTCACAGATTTTGTCAGCTGCGTTGTGCAAGAGTGATAGGGTCTCAGACGCTGAGGTCTCTTGGCTGTGACTGCTCCTCTGGAGAGGAGAGAAGCGTGATGTGTGTTGAAGATTGCCTGACAGGAGATTCTTGTCACCTTTGGCTCTATCTCCAACTCTGTCATAGCCTTCCACCTCTGCACTTCCTGGTGGCTGTTTCTCTGCAGGAAGAAGCCCCGACCTGAGTTGGCAGTTCCTTCACAATGGGAGCCTAGCACTCCCCTTCTATTCCTTTCTCCTCCTTCGCCTGGGAAAAGAGCTTAGACTGTGTGTCTTCTTGCAATCACCTCTCTTTCCAAACTCAAATTCACATTTTGGAACCCTGGATTAGTGTCATGTTAGAAATTAAAACAAAACAAAACACCTGTTAGTTGCAGTCAGTGAATCTATTTCTATTTGTTGATCGCATGGGAGTTTCTCCAGTACCGAAGTAGGTGTTCGTTAGGGAGAACAAAGAAATAGAACAGGTACCGGCAAGAGTCCCCCGTTGGATGGAAGAGGTTTTGCCGCCACACAGTCTTAAGTTTAAATCCCATCCTCTTGTTTCACAAAATGTTTATTCAGCAGAGAGGCTGTTCTGCACTGGGCCTTCAGCCCTTAAATTTCTTCCTCTGAAGGCAGAATAAAACGAAACTAGCTGGAACGGGTGAGGCGAGCTATCAGGCCTGATTTCCTGGCTGTGTGCAGTTACTGGGTATTTAAGGAAGGCTTGGGGGCTGCTTGCTCTGCAGAGCTTTAAGTCAAGGAGAAATTCCCTCCAGGCAGGTGTCTGGAGGAACCGTGGGGTGGGCGACAGAGGCAGGTCGGGAAGACCCCCGCTGTGGGAGCTGAGGCTAGCTGTGGGATGCTAGCCTTGCTCTGAGCCGCCAGAACTTTCCCTTTCAAAGACAGGAGCCTGGGCCGGGTTGGCCTAGCTAGGTTCTGAGGCTTGTGGCTTCACTCCACCCACGTCCGGGTGCCCCAGGGAGAGATAAGGACCACGGGGAACACAGGGCAGTTATCCACGCGTGGAAGCTTGCGACCACATGTGTGCATCCACAGAAACTCTGAATACACTCGGGAGGAACCACCCCACCATCCACACCAAGTCCTGCGGGCCGCCTGTGCGCGCTGTCGACACGCACTCCCCCACCCCCCCGCCCCTGCTCAGGGCACACGCAGCAGTCACTCGTGCCCGGTGCCCGTGCGCGTGCTCGCCCTTGGGCGCTCCTGAGTGTGTGCGCCCCCCCGGCTCCCCTGCGCTCCTAGGCGAGGGGGAGGAGTGGCTGAGCCGCGCGCTAGACCAGCGGGCGGGCGGACCAAGGAAGAGGGAGGGGAGCGGAGGGAGGGGGCCCTGGCCCGCGGAGGAGGAGGGAGGCGAGGAGGCGGCTGTGGCAGCGCGCGGCGGAGGTAGCGGCAGCGGCGGCGGCGGTGGTGGCGGCGGCGCGGAGGGCTGGAAGAGGGAGCCCAGAGCTTGGCCGGGCAGCACGAGAGGAGCAGCCGCAGGAACTGCAGCTTTGTTAGCTTGGGCCGAGTCCAGAGACACCGGCCTGGCTGGTCCACGCCAGCCGCAGGTGGGAAGGGTCTAAGATGAGGGGAGAGGGTCTCTCGGCAAGGGTCAAAGCTGAGCAGAGGGACTGTCTCCTCCTTCTGTTCCCTAGACAGTGGCTAAGCATGGAGCTGTCCCCCCGCAGTCCTCCAGAGATGCTGGAGTCGGATTGTCCATCACCCCTGGAGCTGAAGTCCGCCCCCAGCAAGAAGATGTGGATTAAGCTACGGTCTCTGTGAGTTTCTGGCAGAGGAATGTGGAGGGGGGAGCCTGGGCTCTGTGTGAGTGTGTGTGTGTGTGTGTGTGTGTGTGTGTGTGTGTGTGTGTGTGTGTGTGTGTCGGGGGGGGGGGGGGTGAGCAACTGGACCCGGCAGGTAGATTTCTCTGGGGCACACATATTGGCAGGTGCGAGGAAACATGGCCCTGACACTCGTGTCCAGGCCACATGTGTGAAGCATCTGCAGAGGAGGCTCTTTGGCTAGAGCGGGTTTAGGAGTTGCAAAGCTTGTGCTTGTGTTTGTGGCCCTTTGGGTGACAGGGTGTCACACGCAGCAGCTCGAAGAGGCAGCACACAGTATGTGTGGTGTGGCAGGGCTGCGGACAGGCAGCTTTTAGGAGGTGCCAGGCTGACTCACACATATCCATGAGCAGGTTGTGCAGATATGGGACACATTGCATGAATGTGCACCAGTGTCCATGGGTCAGAGGTGTGAAGAGTGCTTGCACACCAATGCGGATCTAGTGCAGGGCAATACTTGTGCCAACCTGTGGGTTCTATGTATCTTCTTTGGGATTGGTAGGTCTGCCTCCTGCATCCTACAGGGAGCAGGATGAGGGTACCCTGTACTTGACAGAATCATCTGCTTTGGGGTCTGGAAAATGCATATTAATGATCCACCTGGAGTCTGGAGAAGTGACTGGAACCCTCACCTGTGAGCTAGAAGGGTGGTGGTGGGGGTGGTGGTGAAGAAGATTGATTGACAGGAACAGCATAATTGGCTTAATCAAAGCCTTTTTGTTTATATAGGCTCTCCCAGGATCTCCCAGCTCATGTAGGCATCATTCCTTATTGTGGGACTAGAGTACATGGAGAAGAATACAAGAGAGGAAGGGCTCAGGCGTTCCAAGCACCATTCTGAGGAAGAAAAGGAAGTTTTTATCTTGCCCCTCAAAGCAGAACAGGATTGGGTCAGAGACAAGCCAAACACAGTGTTCACCTCCCAGGCAGGTGCCATTGGATAATCTCTGCAGTCTGTTGATTCTTAATCAGAGAATGAGAGAAGACGCACATCTCTCTAAGAGATTCTCTGCAGCCCTAGGAAAGAGGTGATCGATAGGAAACAAAATGATAACCATCCCTGAACCCCATTCTTCTTCAGTTCTCTCAGCAGCAAGCATTGAGTCTTTTCTTCCTTGGTTCTGATAAAGGGAGGGAATAAAGATAGGAGGTGGACAGATGCCCATGTCTGTTTTGTTCTTTAAATATTTCACCAATGGTGATGAATTGACAGCTTAGATTGAGCAGGTGAGTCTGATTTATGTGCTTGCTGCTTACAGAGGCCTTAGGGAGAATGAGGCACAGTGGGCAACAAGGCTTGGAATCCAAATGTGCTCTTTCGTCCCCCTCCTTCGCTGCCTCTGGCCAACGCAATTTGCTGGATTCTATGAAGCGCAGCCTTGGAATGAGTTCTAGGGTAAAGAAATAGAAAACCAAATTGAATAGATTTTTGTAGGGTGGGTCTCGATAGATAGAAAATGATGCTCTGCCAATGGTAACTAAGCTGAGGAGAGTGGCAGGTGAGGAAGTGGCTGAGAGGAAGGATGAGGCATCGGGGCCACAGACAGAATTCCAGTGTCTCAGGATGGCACTAGTGGCTGATCAGACTCGACCCTCATTCCAGGTAGCAGGACCCTGTGGTAGAATGGATTTGCCATTTTCATCACCTTCCACACTTTTCTATCCAAGCAAAAGTCTTTCCTGAAAATGAAAAGTTGTTTCCCTTTTAATGTGAGCAAAGAGGACCCCAGAAGGTGGTACTGAACTCTGGAGAGAGAAAACTGTAGAGGTAGCCTGTTTCCATAGTGCTTTAGTTGAGATGGCCTTACATGGTGGGCAAGAATCAGTGACCTCATTGATTAATTTGGTCTATATCACTTCAGCAAGTTGGTCCTAAGGAATGCTAGCTAGCTGATTCATCCCCAGGAGTGGATTCTCAGTTTTGTTTTCTCAAGGTAGAGAGAGATTTAAAGGTAGAGCCCAGGTTGATGGCTTTCTGGATTTGTCTTTGTCTGAATATTAAGGAGGCTTTGACAACCAGAAGAAGGAAAAACAAAAACAAAAAACAACAGGATTTCAGGCTCCTTCCTTCCCTCCCTCCCTCCCTCCCTCCCTCCCTCCCTCCCTCCCTCCCTTCCTTCTTTCCTTCCTTCCTTCCCAGGTAGGAGTTTCCAAGCCATCTAGTCATTGTTTCTAAAGAAGTGAGAAAGGAGGAATTCCCTGAAATGGAAACAGGGCCCCCCCTCCTTCTCAGGGGTGAGGGTAAAAGAGGTCATTTGGTCTGGAAATAGGGAGGTAGTCATGGCTGTCTCAGGACTAGGCACTAAGTGGAAATGAAGACAGATGGGATTTCTGCATATCTGTCTCTTTATGTATCTGGTTCCCAAACCCAACAATCCTACTCCCCCTCCCTTTAAAGTTCTAATCTAGGACATCCAGACTCTTAGGGTACTTTTGCCTATGGACACAAAGCCTCCACTAATCAAATCATGCAGGGCAGTTTCTTATTGGAAAGAACATTCAGGAATCCCATTTCTCACACTAGGACTCTGTCAAGGGTCAGCTGAGAATCTGAGGCTGTATGAATTGGGGAAGTCTCTAACAGTGGGATTTTACTTCTGGCTAGCAGAGAAACTTTTCTAACTCAGGAGATTCATAAATAAAGAGGCTGAGAAAGGCAGCCTGGAAATGAGGGGCTGGTCATGCTGATTTCAGCATCTCCAGCTGAAGATGAGCGATGTGACTTGGCTGTCCCCCTTTAAGACCAGAGGGAATTGGGGACTGTGGGGGAGAGAGTCTAGATGTAGAAGTAGTTTTCAGAGTCTTTTTTGAATAAGACAAACCATGATTGATGTGCTGCCTTGGCTCATTTATTTTTTCATTCAAGAACAGTCTGGGTGCCTTGCTTGGGACAGGTAGCATGCTCGATGTTGGAGATGTACTACTGGATGAAGTGAGCATGCTTCCTGCCCTCAAGGAGCTGTCCAGTGGTGTGGAGAGGCACACCATCTTGCTACTCTTATACAGGAGGTAAAATCCTGCCACTCTGGGTTTTTGCCCAGTCTTTCTTTGGGGGTTATGCACACATGAAAACAGAGATATGAGTTCTGTCTCCCAGGGCAATACAAGCCTCACTCCCATCTCTGCCCCAGTTTCTCTCAGGATTTTACATTTTACAGATAGAAAATCCTCCTGTCTGTGGGACAGTGAAGACACAGTCTTCTTTTCTTGTCTCTCCCTTGCTTCATTTTCAGGACTCCAGAGGTTCAAGGTCATAATAGCTGAGTCTAGAACAAGGACCTATTTGAGGTGATATTTGCTTATCTTTGTTTCATCAGAGTCTCATGTGGTACCTTGAACAACAAAGGCTCTCAAGAAATGCTATTATAAGGGAATGAAAAAAGAAATTAATGTATTATGTGTGTATGAAGTCATGGAATCCAGTTCTTTCTCTGACTCTGTGGTGTATGTGTACCTCCACACAGGAGGGAAGCATGGGCAGAAAATGGAGGTAGAAGAAAGGGAGACGGTACGATTGCTGTGTTTTGAGTTATTGAATCTCAGGATAGAGCCTGGAACTGAATGAGTTACAGAGAAGATATAAAGGCTGTGTTTTGTGTCAACGAGAGACTGAAACTGTGAGTGCCAGATATGTATATCTATAAATCTGGGTAGAGGGTGATGAATGACAGAAGCACAGCTCCATGACGGTGTCTCTCTCTTTTTTTTATGGTTATGAATGGTGTGTTTGACAGTTAATATGCTGGGAAGGTATGCTCCTACCCGAATGCCTCAAGTGTTTCTAGGCATGGATGAGATGATGTACAAGTGTATGTGAATGAGCATGCTAGTAATGAGATATGGTGTATATGTGATCTTCAGTCCTAGGGGAGACCCAGAGGGCAGCAGGAGGAATCTGAGGGACTGAACCCGGAGTCTCATTGATTGATCCTGCCACTGGTTATCATGTCAAATATGCTCCATCCAGTAATCTTGTGTGGCTCTTACCAACATTGGAATCCTGCTGTCATTCCCCCTTCTGTGCATATAGCCGTGGAGCTGCTGTGGAGATTGCAGGATGATCTGTGGCTCCTTCCACCTCTGGCAACAGGAGCACCAGGCCTCGCAGACCTCAGTGGGAGGCTTTTTTGCTGTCTTCCCTGAACCAGTCCTCTCACTTTCATTTCTCGCTATGGTCCAGGGAATCTCTCCTTGGTTTTTATACTGCCTTTCCCATCATCTCTCCTTCCTTCACAGCACTGTGTGAATGAGGACTGAGTGACATCTGGGATGTAGAGGGAGGGGAATTCTTGCAGTATGCTGAGGAAAGGCCCAGATACAGGGCAACTCAAATTCAGATAAAAGAAAGAGCTTCCCACACACCTGGTCAGAACAGGTACTGGAGGAGTCATGGAGGCTGATGATGGAAGAAGGTCAGAGAGAATATCAAGAGGTGAGTTTGGGCTCAAATTCCCACTCTGACGTTTCTGTGCCATGTGATCTTGAACTCATATGGTTTCCCAGAGTCTCTGTTCTTTGGTATTGTCCGTATGGAAGGGGCTTTAAATGATAGAGTCTGGAGATCTTTCAGCATGGGGGAACTTGCTTTGTGAAGGAATTAATGGAAGACTAATGACTGGATGAGAGAAAAAGATGAAGATTTGGGAGGAAGGAATACATGAATATCAAGTAAACTGGACCCCAATATTTGGGGCATGATTTAGACGAGTTTTGCTGATTACATGGGAGGGGTGAGGACATGTTTCTGGTCTCAGTGGGGCTGGAAATGAGCTAAATTGTGAAAATGTGGGTTACTGTGAAAGGAGAGCTGAAGTCTTTGTTATCTTGTCCCAGTGACTGAACTGGACAAAGATGGAACAATTGTAGTTCTGAGCAATGGTCAGTGTGAGAAGAGCCCTCCTCCTTGGTGGGGTTCTGTGTGTGTTGGGGAACCCCCT